AAAAAAAAAAAAAAAAAAGTTAACCTCTCTGGGTCCTTGGTTTCCTAACTATCTGTTGGGGGTAGGGTGAGAGAGAGCCTACAGTTCAGCTGATACTTTAAAGGAGTTCTAAAAATCTACAATTCTGCTTTGCCCATGTTTTCATTAAACAACCACTTGCTTATGTACACCTCAAAACTAATGATTCATGCCAATAGAGCACAAAGAACAAAGCCAACCCATTACATAAAGGCTGCTGCAAATGCCACTGACATCCATTTATGAGAAGTATTAGATGTTGTTTTAGAAACAAGTTTAATCCTTGAAAGTAAATCTCCTTTATGTAATAGTGATCACTATTTCTGCCAGGTGATATGATTTAGAAGGCATAGAATGCAGAGAAGGTCACTGCTCTAGTGGCAGACATAAGGGTCATGCAACTTTGGAATGGGCAATCAAGGGCTAGCCACACTGATGGACCTTCTGCCTTACTGAAGGCTGAAATAGTGTATTCCTAATCAGCATGCTGAGCATTTACTTCAAGCCCACTATGGTTCCATGTCCACTGGTGGAAATGAAAGTAAAATACATATTCACTAATTGCCAAGAGACTCCCATCTAGCTGGCGATGCAGAACAAAACACATGAAATTTGGAAAATGAGTGTTAAAATGTGTGCCAATGAAAGCAGATACCACAAGAGGTCAGAAAAGGAAGAAATCTGTGGAGGAAGGAAGAGAAGTTTCCGAAGACAGAGCATACCTTGGACAAGACTGTGAAGGGTGTGAAAGGGACCCCTTGACTTTCAGCTGTGTCTATCTCTACATTGGACTAAAACACAAGAAGGCTAGGGCTGCATCTGTTTTGCTTATACTAAAATCCAGGCTAGTGCACGGCATATATGAATTTAATGTATTTGGTCAAGGAATGAGGTCAGTGTTGGAATCAAGGACAGTGTATACAAGTGATGACCACGAGTCAAACTGCTTGAACCAGACAGCTTAAAGGGTAATGAGAAATGGGGCTGGATACATTAGCAGGATCCTCACAGAGTACGAAGAGCAGGCAGTACAAGGTGACATTTGAACCTTCTTGTCATCAGGGCAATACCTAGGGTCCGGTCAATCTATCACCCCTTGAAACACTCAAGCAGAGGCTGGACTATTTGTCAAGGATACACTAATGCGGATAAAGACTCATGCAGATAACTTCTACAGTGCATTCTAATTCTGCAATGTATGTGACAGGGGATTTAACTGAAGGCTCAAAGTGACCAAAGAGTGAGACAGAGCCTCAAAAAATGTTTGTATTCATAAATGTATGTACTGTGCACCCAGCAGTTAATCAACAGTTTATGGATGACTGTTCAGATAAAGGGAAATAATAGTTCAATCTTACAGACAACATGACAGCTCTTTTTTCAAATACCTGCCAAATTATTAAGACAATTATGTATATTCTGTACTTTTACAAGGGTAGAGTTAAACTAATAGGGTGAGGATACAGGGGAAAAAAATCTTCACTCACATTGTAAAATTGTAACAATTAAGACCATTCCTGAGGTAGGATGGATGCTCTTAGAAAAAGTAAGCTGCCAGCTCCTTAACAGGGATACTTCAGGACTCATGGCTTGGCCAAGAGCTCAGACCTCTCAAATGTTTTCCAACTCTGAAACTTTAATGATCTTTAGGGGCGCCTGGGTGGCGCAGTCGGTTAAGCGTCCGACTTCAGCCAGGTCACGATCTCGCGGTCCGTGAGTTCGAGCCCCGCGTCGGGCTCTGGGCTGATGGCTCAGAGCCTGGAGCCTGTTTCCCATTCTGTGTCTCCCTCTCTCTCTGCCCCTCCCCCGTTCATGCTCTGTCTCTCTCTGTCCCAAAAATAAATAAATGTTAAAAAAAAAAATTTAAAAAAAAAAAAAAAAAAA